GAGCGGTTTTGGTTTGTGAGAATCACCTCTTCCGATAAAACCATATTTCAAGTAGGACTCATGGTATTGTATGTTAAAAGTTACATGTTTCTTTGTTTTTCCCAAGGAAACTTTCTAATGACGTCTGTTTCGTACTCATGTTTCCTAATTTGTGGGTTAAAGTTGAGTAAACACAATGCACACGTACACCAAGCACTGTTAAACACGAGAAAGTTCATTTAAAAAAGTCTGATTTTAATTGCAGAGGAAACTAAATTATTTTAAACAAAACCGCATAAAGCACACAAAACAGTAGAGAATAATCATGGTCAAGTTTTCTTTGGGCGACTAAATGTCGGATGAGTCAGCTTCTCTTTATAGAAGCCTTACTACACTCGTTGTGTGTGACGTCACGATCGAGAGAGAAGACGAGGAAGTTCATTATTAGTTCTAATGTAAATCTCGCGCCCAACTTTCGTGTTTTATTTATGAGATTTATAGTTTTGATGATTGATTTTTTTATTAAAACTAATTGAAAGAGAAAATAGTTGCGATGTTATTCTTTTTTTTTTACTTTTTAAAACATTAAAACAATTATGTCACTACCTTCGGGGGCCTCTTTTTTAAAATAAATAAAATTTTAATGAAACAGATGTTTTTAATTTGAGTTATAAACCTAGGAATTTAAATTCAGTTTCAATGAAATGGGCAGCCCGCGGCCCGGTACCATTTGATCCACGGATCGGTCCGGTCCGCGGACCGGGGGTTGGGGACCACTTCTTTATAACATTCCTCTTGAACAACTTTCCGATGTCCACATAGAGTTGTAGGTTGACAATTAAATAATAAGCTTTTTAAAAGTACAAAAGTGCTAAAAACTATGGGAGATATATCAGGGGATTTAGTAAGGATATGAATGAATTGGTATGGCCTTGATACACGCTTCGTGTTTCACTTTTTCTAGGAAATTAATAGTGGATTTTGACGTGTGGCTGCTAGTTTTGTCTTGATGCAATTCTACTGATTTAGGGCACTGTGGGTAAATAGAAGGTATTTCATATTTGAAATTTGGGTATACAATATGTTCCTTATAATAAGTTGAATTGTTTTTAATACGTTCCTTCATTCTCTTTATTTTTAATTTGCCGTTACAGGAAAAACAAGCAACAATCATAAATCCCTTTGAAAAACTTTCTTTAAATTCTTTGAACCACGTGTTAAGATTTTTTCTCCTCTTCGATTATAATAAATGCATTTATTTTTATTGCAGTCATTTAAATAACTCGAGATTCATCTATTCTGTTCCTTTTTTCCCTTTATGTCCCGCTCAGCATTTCTCATAAAGAAATCTGCAGCGCATTCTGAGTTTTATACATTATGTCGTGGAGAAAGAGAGTGCACATTACATTCTTTCGCTTTTCACGATTCAAATCAGAATTTATCACTTTTTTTATAATTAACACTGAGAATTTTAATGATTTTGCAACTATTCTTTGACTTTGTGAATTTGTTTTAACATTAAAGATTTTACCGTTGCAACATTCGAAACATTCCGTTTTTTACTTGGATATGTATTTGGAATAAATTTTCCACTTAATGCCACTCTGACGTTTTCCCTCTCTTGTTGGCAATATTATCTATCGTAGCTTTAGATATCGGAAAAACACGGCTTTCATATTGTTTTTCAATAACAAGATACGAATAACTTTCTTCAGAGCGCAAACGTACCCTTCCATCCATTACTTCTTTAAAAGCTCCATTTTGCATGAAAATAAAATTATCAAGTAGCAAACGAAAATTTATATTTTCAAAAATATAGATGCAGTTATAACAAAAATTACCAATAAGAGTTTTTTTTAATAGCGAAGCAAAATCTTCTAAAAAATGTACGGACATCTTCTGTGAGAACGGATTAAAAATGATTGACTGAATATAGACTGTTTTAGATTATTTAAGATTTTCAAAGAAACAAAGTACAAGAGAAGAAAAACTTTAAAATTTTGCCTAAAACACCTCTAGAGGTATTTCTAATTGATTAGAACAACGTCGTGATTATAATAAGATTTTACTATATCTTTCTTACTACCTGAATAAAAATAATGATTATCTTTACTAACGCCATTGGCCGTCAGCTGACCTGCTCGAGATCATCTCAGTGCTTGTGAGCTGCAAATATTGCCGTATGCCAAGTACTATGTAAGCATGTAGTAAGTAGTAGTATAAGTACTCCGAGACCATCTATGGAAAATGATGAAATGTTATTATACTGGAATACGAGAAAGAATAATTATACGTGTTGTCACTATATTATAGTTTGCATTTCCCAGTAGAATTTCTCAATTCCATAATTTTAGCCTACAGAATGTGGTTAAGATAGCTGCGAATCAGACATTTTCTATGTATATATCCAGCTTGACTCTGTGTTTGCAAAGTGTTCTTCAGAAATATATTGATGTATATGATCTACATTCTTACAAGTATCCTGTCATTCTATGTCAGAATAATTCTTGTCAAGTACTTGTTGCCAGAGATTGACCTGTGACCTCTTTGGAAGAAAATTAAAACTGGGTACCACTGGTAAATAAATGAATTGAGACGTCAGAAATTAAACTAGAAATCTATTAAACGTTTATTAAATACCAGTCGCTTTAAGTCTTATTACCGCTAACTTCTTTCTTCTAGAACACAGTAGTAATCATTCGAAGTTTTACAGTATGAACTTGTTCGGCAGCAGTTTAAACGTCTCTGGGTAGTTGATATTCTAGTGAGTTGAGCCCTGATGTTTTTCCTTTAGTTAATATTAGATTAATTGGATATGGCAAATCTCACGAGGGATATCTACCTAAGGGAAAATATGCCTCCGTGAAAGACTTCCAAAAGGAAACACATGAGGAAACCATGAAAATCCCTTTCACCAGGGATCGTTTCAGCCATCGGATCGAAAAGTTGAAATCCTAGCATTCAACGGTTGAAATCATTAAACCATTGAAAGAGGTTATATTTTAGTTGTCTCTCAGCTTTCGATCAGAGAAATAAATTAAGAATCTGCCAAGCAAAGAAAGCATGTCCGATAAAACGTTAGGGTGTTTAAAGGAGAGGACCTATTTAGAGATTGTATTACTCACATATTCGTTTACAGAATTCTCGATGAGAAATGTTACTTAGTGTTTTATCAGATTTGCTAACCACTAAAATCTAATGTGTTTATTTCAAAAATTTGCTGTTTCTGCCTGTAAAAGAAAACTGCAGGCACTATAAAATAAAATTTGAAGTATGTTTGTTTACTTGCATTTGTTGACCAGATTGCGAAGGCGAGCAGGAACCAGAACCGAAGTGATGAAATAGTGCCTGCAAAGTTAGTTTATTTGCCTACCCTAATAAACAGCTAGGAATACACCTTTACAGGGAAGCAACGCAAAGTCCGGTTTCAGAATTTGAACAAATTTTATTGGTAAAGTAATGGAGTCGTTTCTCAAAATTTACTACAACTATAGAAAAGTTCTGTGTAACAGTGTGACCGACTAAAGCAGGTCGACTAATTACTAGATTTTATTTATCGACAAATACGAGAAAATTTACTTCTAAAAAATCGCCGGTTTATAACTATTGTACTCAACGTTTTTCAGCTTCAAATGGTTTAAACATAGGAATTTTGAACATGAAGTTAACCAGGCTTCTATCTTCCAAAGAACTAAATCCACCTATTGATATTTATTGACATAACTGACATTACCTTTCTTTGAATGGTATTAAGTGAAGCTTATGTGCTCTTTATAGCATGTCAAATTATCTGCCGATATTTGCTCTTTGCAGTTCGCCTTCTGGAGCCAGAACTTCTGTATAGCTGTTTTATTATCTCTTCTGATAGTAACATTCAGCGGTTAAAGTGTTAATATGTACTTGCCATTTGATATTCCAAAAGTACCAACCACTTGCAGCAGGCGTATGATAAAATCCTTTCAAAATCTCCCATGTTAATTCACTGTTTCCAGTGTGTAAGCAAAGCTTCTTCTGTTCACATAGTAATTAACGTGTACAGTCATTATGTTACTTTGAAATCGAAAATGTGAATAATGTGCAATGCCCTTGCCCGGACTCGAACCTAGACCTCTCGAATATGCACCGAATGTGCTAACCGTTACACCATGAAGGCATCCTAGAAAGAGGGAGAAAATATATATTTCCCTCTTAAAAGACGACTGCGAATAAGGGGTTCCAATCGCCAAATACTGGTTGTGAAGAATCATTATTCATCATCTTTTACTAGTTCGGGCCCACTGTAGAGGCATTAGGCTTTTTTTACGCAGAAGATAAATGAGCAATGCCCTCGCCAGGTCTCGAACCTGAACCTTTTGAATACGCGTCGAGTGTGCTATCCGTTACACTATGAAGACATGCTGGAAGGATGGAGAAGATACCGTACTTGCTAGGCGTTCAAACCGAACTTATAAAGGATTTTGCTGACCTAGTATGATGTTATAACCATTAGAAATGGGAAGTTTAGCATGTAAGTTGTTTATTTAAACAGGATACCTTATCTTAAATATTCATTAACTACGAAAATATCAGAAGCTTGTTGTAAATCTTTGTACTGAATTAAAACTACCGAGCTGATTCAGCAAGTACTAACTTGGTTCACATTTGACGTTATCCATGCAGGCATAAAATAAAATAACTACTGTAAAAATAGAGATTCTTTTATGACAAAATCTTAACTGAAAGCAAGCGTAATTTCAGTATTGTTCAATGATTTTTATCACTTAAAAATGAGGATTATATATTCAACTAAAATTTTAAATTTTTTGTTCCTTCGGAAAATTATCTAATTTTTATGCGAAATAAATAGTTTACTTGAAACAATAAGCTAAGTATTAATTTGATAGGGCAATAAAAACAGTTGCATATATTTTAAGCATATAATTATTCGCAAAAGTGTTATTATTTGAGATTATATAGTCAATATCATAATTTTGAGTATCCCATTTTACAGCGCTAAAATTATCATAATTTTCCGTTCTAAGGTGCTCAAGATTTCTTTACGTGTATTCTTTCTCGTTATTTGAAACTCAAGCACATCAACTGTTTAGTTGAATAGCAGTGGAAAAAAGGTCGTTGAAGTGTCAAGAATCACCATCATCCATCTTGCGGAGAAAGAAAAAAAATCTGGCCTAAGGTTTAGTCAACTTAAGCACCGAAGGATATCGATTGATAGATGGAACGTGTTGGATAAATTTATGAAAGCACTGGAAAACTTCGACAATGAAAAATAATTAAGTTTACCTATGATGTAACTGTGAAAAAATTTTTTTTGGTGAATATTTATTCTCGAAACTAATATTTAATCTAACTAGTTCACAATAAAAATGTGCTTAAGTATTTTTAAAGTAAACTATTGCATTTCAATTTCTTTTCAATAATAAAATTTTGCCAATACAGAAAAGGAAATCATTTTATACTAATAAGGACTAAATAAACTTTATGTTGTTAGAGATTAGATAGTCTAATTTAGAATGAATATATAATGAAATCTACAAATGCAAGACATTAAAAAAACTTTAGAGAATTTGAATAAACTTGGAAATAAATCTTTATATCATGATAGTTTACATGGTAGTAATTCACTGCATAAAAATTAAAATATTTGTATGACATATAAATTTGCTATTGATATAGATGTTGACGTTAAGTTTAGCAGATTTTATTAGAGCATGTTAGGGACTTAACGCTGCGTCTTAAATCTCAGGAAATACTGGAGGAGATCTTAAAACAACTATCAAATAAATTTAAACGTTGATAAAATAGTCTAAGAGTACACAGCAAAATAAGAAAGCTATAAGCTGACTCAGTTAATTTTGCGGTATGTAAGTTTAAAGTATCGTCTTCGAAAGAATTCAAAAGCCAGATTAATCGTTTTTAGATTTAGCTGTCGAATTTCTAACAGAGCGGCGAGAACACCACAAACTCTCTCTAAAAGAGTCAAAACCTTCAGTTTATTTGCTCTAAAACCTAATTTGCATTCACGTGAGAAAGATGGAAAGAAGTTATAGTAAAGATCAAAATCATAATAATTGTTTAATTAACATATGAACCATACAACAATTTTAAATTATTCAGTTTCAAACAAAGTGCATTAAAATGTACATACATACGGAAAAATGATTACGTCGTGCCATTTCCTTTAATTTACGTACTTCAGTTAATTATTTGATTTTGAGACATGGATGGTTTCTGTGGACTTTGGATATAAATGCAATCATATTTAAAGATTTTGTTTCAAATCGTAATCTCTACATATTGTTGCGTGCGTACGGGTTCGTTATGAAATGAATGCACAAGTCCGATGAAAAATGAACAAAAATTTATTATGATCACAACAAAAATGCTTAAATTTTCTCAAATTATCATGCAGTATTACAATATCTCACAGTAGTTATCTTTGAACTACTCAAAAATGTCCAATTCAACGTAATTCAAAACAGCTAAAGAAAGCTAATCCGCTACAATCAACAAGAGCAGTTTTCTAAACAACAACAAACTAAGCAACTCCTACGAACTGAGATGTTTTCCTCCTTTTATAAGATTTTAAAATCACGCGCGAGAATTTTCTAGTACTTTCTAGAAATCAAAAAGACATATTTATTTATTTAATTTTAAATGCACGTGCTCTTGTATTTTTAATTTTCCGGCTTAGCTTTCTTCTTTTAATATTCGTCACGCGCTGCACTGCGAGGGAAATAAAACCATTTAATTTATAATTGAAATTATTAGCTTTTTAAATACCAAATTCGTAACAATATAATAAAACAAAGAGTTTGTCTGTGTGTGTGTCTGTGTGTGTGTTCGCGCTGCGCGTAAGCTAATAGACCCACGGTTACGAAATTTGGTACGTAGGTGCATCTAGACAAGAGCCAGTGCACCTCGAAGTGATTTTTTCGAATTCGAATTTTTTTTATTTTATGTTTTGTGACGAAATCACGTCATTTTGAGACGTAATGGGTTATAGGAAAGCGAGATTTTACTCTACACACTCCATTTTCACATCGTCACGAAACGTAGGCACTTAGCTATTTTACAAACTTAAAATAAATTTCGTGTCTCAATAAATCGATTAAATACGAACTTATTTAACAAAGTGAGCTTAACACCTTTTCAACGGGATGTTTTCTAAAAAAGTTTATTTTTAAAAATATACCGTTTATTTTTTGGATTTTTGGACACGTTAAACTTTCATCCTTGCGACTGCTTTTACAAAAAGAATTTTGGAAAAATGATAATATTTTGTATTTTTAAAAAACTTTTTAAATGAAGCTTCCGAGTACACTTCTCACATCTCACATCTTTAAAAATGTGGTTTTGGCAACAATTTTTCTTTCTCATTGTTGTTGATAGATTTTTGATGAAATCGCAGCATTTTGAATAGTTTCATTCTTTTAGAAATATGGGTTTGGCAACAATTTTTCATCATATTTCTTATGTCACTGTTTTTGAGATTATCAGATTTCGTTGTCATTTTTTTAATATATATAATACATTTTGATTGATATTTTTTTGATGAAGTTGCCCTGCAGAGTAAAATTCTGCGTGGAATTTTTTTTTTTTTTAGTTTCTTTTATGTTAATTTTTGCTTATTTCACTGTTTGTAAGATATTGAAAAGTTTTGCATGATTTGTTTTCTTAAACGGAAAGTTGGTTAATTTTTTAATTAGGATAATTAATATTTGTATTATGGGATATAGCTTATTTCACTGTAATTTTTTTCTCTTGAAAATATAAGATAAACTATCATTGGTGCTACTTTGGTAGACGGTTGCACGGATTTTGGCGATTTTTTGGCGATTTTTCTTTTGGCGAGTAATACAACTTATGGTAAACCCATTGCTGGATAAGTTATTTATGGTAACCGATACTTTGTTGTCATTTTATTAAAAAAAAAATGCGTTTTATTATGCATAACTTCCGTGTTTTAAATATTATTTACGGCTTCTAAATATTAAAAATGAATTTAATTTTACATTTTTATTTGAAATAAAAATTTTGTTTATAATATTTTATATAATTTTATGTTGTGGATGATGTAATCATGACGTCACCTTACTTAAAAAGTAATTGGTTTTTTAATATCTATAAATTAATCAAATGTTTTAAACATTATTTATGGCTGTTAAATATTAAAATACAATTTAATTTTGCATTTGCTTTAAAATGATTTATTATGAATGATATTTAAATAATTTTAATTTTATGCGTGATGTAATCAGATCCCTGATTGGTTACTGAATATTTGTGCATTACCGCGCCATTTTAAAATTTATTATTCATCTTTTCAAATTCCTCAGATTTCAAATGGAATGGATATCTCCGTTCCGAAAGATGAATGTTGTTAGTTGGTAATTGCAAGAATTATTGGTATTGGAATAAAAAAATTGCCCTTTGAGACCTTATTTTGGCCAACCTGTCTGTTCCTAATCAAAGATTATTTATAAATTGTTATAGCGTCAGAGGAAATTTATTTAATTTTGGAGGAAACCTCGCTAATGCTTCTTCAATGAAGTGCGAGATATGTGGATAACAGATGAAGATGGTTTAAAAGTGCCGATTCAATTATGATTTCGATTTTTTTTTTGGCGGTACTTATCAATAAACAAGAGGTTAAATTACTCAAAAAAATGTAAGTACATATTTTTCTTTATTTTATAATTGTATACTTCAATTTTTGTTAAAAAAATTAATACACTATTTTCAAAAATTGCTGAGATAATTATTGTCACATATGTTTTAATGCTAATTATATTTTATATAACGTATTTTAAAGTATTTGAATTTAATAATATTCTAATTCTTTTAAATGTTGGTAGGATGGTTTTTAATTCGATATTCATTTTCAGTAATATTTTAATCTAATTAACGTTGGCACATTGTTTTTATAGCGGTTTTATAGAACTCCGTAAAGACGTTCAAAAAAGAGAACGCCTTTACGGAGTTCTCTTTTTTGCTATATGAAAGTAATAATAGCCTTACTTTAGTATTTTATATTCATAGTAAATGTATTTATTTACACTTGCCTGCCATCTTAAAAAACGACATTTTCAACAAAAAATTAATTCATTACTTTTAACGATATTTATTTATTTATTTATTTATTTTTTTTAAGTTTCGAATACTTTACTATGCGTAAAAACAGCGTTTTTCAAGATGGCTGACGATTGTAAAAATCGCGCCAACAATTACAACGTAAATCGCCAAAAATCCGTGCAACCGTCTACCAAAGTAGCACCCTATCATTAATTATACTTTGATTTTCAGAATTTTTTGTTTTTTATATTCTTTTATGTTATTTATTGCTTATTTCACTGTTTTTAAGGTATTGAAAAGATTTGAGTGATTTTTTTAGGAAACAAAGTTCATAACTTCCTTTATACCATTTCAGTTCTTAAGATTTTGTAAAGGGAAGTTGGTTAATTTATTTGTTAGGATAATTAATATTTGTATTAAGGGATATTTCTTATTTCATTGTAATTTTGTTATACGTAACAACTTTTTTTATGAAGTTGTTCTGCAGAGTAAAATTCTACGCAGCTTTTAAATTTAACGTTTGGTTTTCCCTTCAGCCATTTTTCCGGTACATTTAAAAGCCAGACGAAGGCAGCAGCGAAGCTGCTAGTATTTAATATTAAATAAATGTTTCTAATCTACGGATTTATTACTCCAAACAAAATTAAAATATGAATTCTTTGAGGTAGTTCATTAACAGCCCTTGTAATTTAAGAGGCGATAGCACTAATTTTGATAAATTCCCAAAGAATATTCATTTTTAACAATTAACCTTATATATAATACGGATATTAAAATTAGGACGGCAGCGATAGCAGAAAGCCGAATAATTATAAACTTATCTGAACTGGCAGGAACTAAGGTAACGTGCTACCGAAGGCAGAAACATGCTGTGGCTTACAATCCAAAATTTTAGTTTAAATACTATCTAGCTGATTTACATTTTGGTGAGGAAAGTGAAAGCAGAAGTTATAGTAGACTAATATCATAAATAACTGTATAGTTTCAAATAATAACCTTACAAATTATGCAAAGTTGAACGGGAGTTAAGTAACTATAAACATTTTCTTGGTGAAGAAGTTTTCTTTCTACATTTAAAGACCAGGACCATTGATTATAATATCTGAGATAATGTTATGATTTCAGGTTCTTGAATTTAAATTAAGCTTAAATGTTGTGATTAAATGAAACATAGACTATTTTTAGTTAGCCATTTGTATTGATATTTGTATTGTTTAGCCATTTGTGTTGATTTAAAAGTAGCTACGTTCACGAAACTTATTTTTTAAATTTTATTATTGAATATTCAACATGACATAATAGCATTAATTTTAAGAACTGCATT